GGGTCTATCTCGCTTCCTTCTCCATTTTACAAACAAATGCACAAAGGCATAATACCCTTATACCCTTAAAAATGGACATATATGTTTTCATTATAAGAAAATTTAGAATATGCATTAAATTTACTATCATTTAATTTGTTAGAAATTTTTTTTAGTTAAATCCTACTTTAAGGCACTTATTTCTAATGGGCAATCATATATTTTATAAATAACATCTGTAACAGTAGTATACCTTCAGGCAGTAACTTTATTTTAATGCCGTGTTTATACGAGAATGCGAATGTATTATTTGTGGTAGTGAAAGCTTAATAAAGGCATACGTAGCATAGACCGTAGAATATACTGACGATTTTTTCGAGTTTCTAGCGAAGGCAAAATAAAGGCAATGGTATATAAGACTTTCTAATGGGATTGACTGATGATTAAAATTTGTAGTAAGGTGGAAATGAATATTTTGGATCTTCTTTGGTCGAGACTGTTGGTTAATCGCAATGCCTCAGTGGGTGGGACGTCTGAAGCGACATTCTCTTGCCAATTTGTGAAAATCTATTGGAAAGTTCTAGAACTTTTTTATGTCGCAATCCAGTTATCCGTACGAGGGCAGCTCGACACTTCCTAGACGCATCCGAAATTTTTTACAATAGAAAAATTAAAAAATGCAGACTGTCATTAAATATTTACATAAAAAAGGTTTATCGGGACAAGAAATTCCTCATGATATTGTGAATGTGTTAGGTAAAAGTGCTCCTTCATATGCATAAGAATGAACATTTCTCAAGCTTGTTTGGATCGTTTTAAGCGAAATAAAATGGATTTTAAGCGTCGCTTCATAACTGTTGATGAGACATGGATCCACCACCATACTCCAGAGACAAAAGAACAATCCACACAATGGACCGAAGCTGGAGGAAGTGCCCAAAAGAAGGCAAAAACAATTCAATCAGCTGGTAAGGTTATGTCAACGGTTTTTTGGGACTTCAAAGGCAGTTTATTGATTGACCATCTGTAAAAGTGTAAAACAATAAATTCAGAGTATATTGCAACCTTTTGGATCAATTAAATATACAAATTCGAGAAAAACGTCCTGACTTGCAAAAAAAAAATAAATAAATAAATAAATAATAATATTTAACAAGCAAAAAAGTTGTAAGTTCGGCCGTGCCGAACTTTTAATACCCTCCACCATTTGGTACAAATTTGGAAATTTCCAAAAACAAAAAATAATAATAATAATAATAAAATCCGTTAAAAATTCTGGGGTGACGGTATATGGGGGCTATACGAAGACGTGGACCTGCACAGACAATTTTCTGTTTTATGCTGCAGTATCTATTACAAACTTCAAATACCAAATTTCGAATGATTCCGTTAAATAATGTCGCTAAAATCATCAAAATACCGAATATCGGGGGGTACCGTTATATGGGGGCTATATAAAGACGTGGACCTACATGGTTAATTTTTTGACTTAGGATGTAGAATCCATTATGAACTTCAAATACCAAATTTGAAACGATTCCGGTAAATAATGTCGCTAAAATCATCAAAATACCGAATATCGGGAGGTACCGTTATATGGGGGCTATACGAAGACGTGGACCTGCACAGACAATTTTTTGTCTTAGGCGGTAGTATCCATTACGAACTTCAAATGCCAAATTTCAACCAATTCCGTTAAATAATGTCGCTAAAATCATCAAAATGCCGAATATCGGGAGGTATCGTTATATGGGGGCTATATGATAACTTGGACCTACATGGCCCATTTACGAACTTAACCTGCCTACTGGCAAAATATACACGTCTGCAAAAATTTAGCCTTCTATCCCAATTTGTTCGAAAGATAGCGTGAATTACAACAGACAGACATTGCTGAATCGTCTTAGAATTTTACGCTGATCAAGAATATATATACTTTGTTGGGTCTGACATGAGTATTTCGAGGAGTTACAAACGGAAAGACAAAACTGACTGTCTTCAAACCAATCATCAACAACTCGTTGTCCTCAACTCGATGGATAACGAGCAATCAACATGTGTTGTGGTCAAAAAACCCTCGTCATCAAACTCATGCAACGATTGGGCCTTACTCATCCCTAAGGAACACTCATCGACAACACGTATAATAATTTTATCAACGATTCCCATAGACTATCCTCCATTAAAGAGTTTGTACCTGTCAGTTAAATTTTATTTTACATTGTTGTGATCGAGTCAAAAACGATTATCATACTTTGTTGACTTAGTTTGTAGTTCGTGTTATAAACCCTCCTAAAATGTATTCGCAGTATATCTTTTAATATAATAATTACTATAATAATAAAAAGTAAATCTCGACCATATGGTATATAATTGCAGACCATATAAATATTTTTATTGTGGTATATATAAAGAGCATACGAAAGCATTTCGTATGCTCGTCATAAATGGACGATATCATATTTCAAATGTGTATAATAGATTTAAAATTAAAAAGGTTGTAAAGATTGTCGTCAAAACATAAGATAAATTAAATGGTTCAGATTTGTTATATTATTCGTCTACAATTGTTGTAGTTCTCCTCTCTGAAATTTTAGGAAATTTGAATTTTTATACCCTCATTGTGCATTTGTTTGTAACATGGAGAAGGAAGCGAGATAGACCCATAGATACTTTTGAGGATCTTCATAGAATCGCTTTCTGAGTCGATTTATGCATATCAGTCTGTCTGTCCTTCCGTCCGTACATGTATTTTTGTGAATAAAATACAGGTCGCATTTATTATCCGATTGAGATGAAATTTTCCAAACAACTTTTGTTTTGCCCAAGGACAAACCCCGTTGAAATTGGTGAGAATCGTGAAAAGTGAGAGAAGAAGAGAGAGGGAGAGAGAGAGAGAGAAGGAGAGTGTGAGAGAAAAGGTTAATGATCCCTTGACTTGGGGTCAATGACCTCTTGACCTGGGATCATTGGCCTTTTCTCTCTCTCTCTCCCTCTTCCTCTCTCTCTTCCTCTCCCTCTCCTAGGGTCATTGACTTTTTCCCACTCTCTCTTTCTCTCCCTCTTTCTCTTTCTCTCTCCTTATATAAAATTTCTGAAAATGTCAACTCCGTATTTCTACCAACGAATTAAAGATAACAAATTATTTCTCACTGTGTAAAGAGAGGCAAAAACATTTGCAATATTTTCTTATTTCAAAACACATACAATCACAAAAAAAATTTTGAGTTTCTCTGTCTACCCCTGGCAGGGCTGACCAGGGCTAGTATCCCATGTTAAATGTCTATAGGAAATTACATTGGTTTGGGTATACTTTTGGACTAGTGCTGGTGACAATGTCACCAGTAAAACGCAAAAAAATTACAAAATATGCTCGCTGCAGGGGAGTTTTCTTTCAAATTGGTTTTGGGAGGATATTTAGTTGTGTTCGAGAAGTCTATCAGGAAGGTGCTGTCGGATATTTTTATGAATACGCCGTAAGACATATTGGAGCACATAAATAAATATATCATATTTGAAACAAATATTTCCGAAATTGTTAAGATTTATCTTTTTGATTGATTTCTGTTTGACAGAATTTGTATAAGAATTCACATGTTGAGAGTAGGGTTAATGACTTTTGACATGGGTCCAATGACCTCTTTACATGTGGTCAATGACCTCCTGACATGAGGTCAATGACCTCTTGACATGAGGAAAGAAGTAGAGAGAGAGGAAGAGAATGAAGTAGGGACAGAGAAAGATGGATAGTGAGAGAGAAAGAGGGAGAGAGAAGGACCTGACCTGGTGTCACCTAGGGAAAGAAGTAGATAGAGAGGAAGCAGGAGGGACAGAGAAAGAGAGAGATGGAGGGAGAGAAGAAGAACTTACAGCTTTTTTACTTGTTTTATTTTAAAATGAATCATAATTGAAATAATTGTGCAAATACATATCTGAATTGTCTGATCAAAATAATAATTTTTACCAACAAAGTTGTTTTGAAAACAGAAAACTAAAAATTAAAAATTTAAAGATAACAAATTATTGCAAACAGAAAACTAAAAATTAAAAATTTAAAGATAACAAATTATTTCTCACTGTGTAAAGAGAGGCAAACAAACACTTGCAATAATTTGTTATTTCAAAACACATACAATCACAAAAAAATGTTGAGGCTCTCTGCCTAGCCCTGCTATAAAGAAATGCTATTTGGTACTGGAGGTACAAAAGCCTATGTTAAATTTTGCCGAAAATCGATTCAGAGTTTCATATAATTCCCACAGCCGTGATACCCATTCAAAAAAGGTTAAAAGTTGGTATGAACTACTATATATAAATTCCCAATATAAACTTTTTATGTTATTGGAGCTCTACTAAATACGCATAGTGGTGTAGGGTATCATATAGTCGGTCCCGCCCGACTTTTGACCTTTACGTACTGGTCCACATAACATCTACATATCAAAATCTGGACCAATATGGAATTTTTATAACGAAAAATATTGATATTCATGGTATTTCATAAATTTAGAGAGGGTTGATTAGAAATTAGTATGAATCATGCGTATTGGGTACTTCAGATCGATTTCAGCTACAGTAATTCCAGTAATTCCTGAAAGGAACCACTACTTAAGTTGTTACTGAACCCTGATTACAACAGACGGACGGAAGGACAGGGCTAAATCGTCTTAGAATTTTCCGCTGATCAAGATGATTCGGTGATTTCATGATTTTAGCGACATTATTCCACGGAATTGTTTCAAATTTCGTGTTTTAACTTCGTAATGAAGTCGTATAGCCCACATATAACGGAGACTACCTTTATTCGGCATTTTCATGATATAAGCGACATTAATCGGCGGAATTGTTTGAAATTTCGTATTTGAAGTTCATAATCGGTACTACAGCCAATGACTTACTTATTACTTATGTAGGTCCTCGGCTTCTTTTTCATTTAACCGGTATTTGTCAATGATTTTTTTTTTAATTTTCAAGTTCCTTCCAAGTGGTGGAGCCTATTAAAAGTTCAGCCCGGCCGAACTTGTTGGTTTTAAATAATAAAAATTGTCACATAGATAGTATTGATATTTTCATAGTTATTTGCTTAAAAACGGCGACATCTGAACATAACTATCTGAACAGTACAAGTTTTAACTTTATTATCCTTGTAATGAATAATTGATACTCCTTATCAAAAGGTATTGAAAAGTACAATCTCTCACTCCTCTACATTATCATCACACATTGTTAAGCCATCGCCGATGCAGGCGGCATAAGCCATCAAATGTGGAATGGCATTCTGTTCCAATACTCCAGTGAATAAATGATCAAAAGGTCCTGATGCGAAAACGCCAACATCTTCTCCTGAATGGTGTCCATCATTCGACTTTACATAGCTAGGATAAATGCTGTCTGAATATGGAGGAAAATACAAATTAATAAATTGAAACCCAATATGTTTGAAGCCATTTACCAATATCCCGCGGAATTCCATCCAAATCCACACGTTGGCCATGTTCATCGATAAATTGCTGTGGACCCAATGCATAGCTAAGAGTAGAATACTTTAAACCATCTGCACCTAAATCATGCTGATTCAAACCCAAAATAGATGTTCCACGTCCAGGATAACCATTAATGGTCAGGCCATGGCCATGGTCGGCCGTTACAACAATAAGGGTTTCCTCAGGATCGGTCATATCACGCGCCAATTGTATGGCCTTGTCAAACTCCAATGTTTCATCCAAAGATATTCCGGCTTTATTTTCGTGATGAGCCGTGTCGATGTGACCTCCTTCTATGAAAATGAAATATCCTTTTTCGTTACGCTGCAACAGGTTCAAAGCGGTCTCTGTCATTTCCGCCAGTGAAGGCTGTTGGCTTTTGTCCGACACAGCATAATAGTCCATGGCTTTTGTATTGAATATACCCATGATATGTGACACATTGCTGGTGTTTACATTTAAGAGTTCTTCGCGATTTGATACAAATACCCCACCCGGGTGCATTGCCTGCCAGGTGGACAGAAGATTTCTACCATCTTCTCTTATACCGTTATTGCCATGGAAATCTTTAATATTTTTGGGTAAAAACTTCGCCATTCCACCACCCATCATAATGTTGAAATTACGTCCCGGTTCTTGGGTAACAAGTTGATGTGCCATATCCATACATGTTGCAGGATCTTGTCCAAAGGACATGACATCGGCATCACTTTCGTACAGGCGATTGGCTACATGAGCATAAGTGCCGCTTGGACTGGCATGAGTCAAGGTGGTTGTGGTAATGAAGCCAGTGGATTTACCCGCCTTTTGAGCCCAGGCTGCAATGGATGATACCTGGTTTGCTGGGTCCATGCTGGCGCTGCAATTGTTATACTCCACATTGGCACTAACGCCAATTGTTACAATATTGCCCTTTACACCACACAGGTATGCCGTGGCGGTGCAAGCCGAATCAGCAACTTGGGCATTGGCACAGTATGTCTAAATTCAATTCAATTAAGTTATATTCTGAAATGTAAAACAGAATCAACTTACCTTACTAAAAGCAGCATGGGGAAACTTCTCAAAGCTCAAGGAATCCTCTTCTCCTGTGTGGTTTTTTCTCTGCCCCTTCAGCATGCGAGCAGCCGCCACCGTTGACAAGGACATGCCATCGCCAAGAAACATAATAATATTCTTAGCCTTATTCACATTCAGTTTTTGTTTTTCTAGATTCCTCAAGACTTGCTCCCTCGCAACGGATCTCCAGAATTCTGGATCTTTTTCCTCTTCTGGGGTAGGTTTATTGACACCAACCTTTTCCACAGATATCGAATTTCTTGTCTTCACCATTTGGCCGGCCAAATTTTGTGGATTGTGAAAACTGATGTCATCCACAATGCGACCCGAGGCCAAAGTAATAATCAGAAAAATAAATAATAATTTTAGAAATAATATTTTCGACATATTTCCGATTTTTGGCACAAAAGTTTGGTTTCAGTCTGCAATGGTTTTTTGTGACTAATATAAACAATTGTCAAAACTCGTATTTATAGTTGATCTCTTGAAATATATTATTCTAATGTTTTATATTGTGGCTATAAAAGACTTGAGTTATCTTATGGCCTCCGCTGGCATACTTTCTTTAAGGCCTCAATAATCCAGATATATGATAAGAATTCTTTCCGCAAAGGAACAAGGTAAGACAAAACATATAAAATGTAAACAGCATAAAATAATAATTTTGGGAGTGTGTCTGATTCTGAAGTTCGAGACACAGTGGTTTTTTTATTGAGTGAAGGTTATTTGGTGATAAAAAATAATAAAAACAAGTAAGCCAAGGCTATTGCTGGACGGGCTGTCCACGGTCAAGTTTAAAAAGCTCTAAGCTCTTAGAAACTATTCCAGGTATAGCGACTCGTTATGCAATTTTCGATTGTGGATTTTGTGATGTCCGTCCGTCTACCTGTCCATCTGCGGAATAGCTCTAGCTTCCGAAGGAATTAAATTTTACTCAGATACTGTACCGATAGATTTAAGGTTTTTTGGATATTTTTTTTTTATAATTTTAACCCGGTTTTTTGGATGTTTTTGTTTTATAATTTTAACCCGATTTTGCTGTAAGTTGGCAGTATGTGTTTCCATTATGTAAGAAACATTCATAGTACCATATAGCTCTACTTCCAGATATTCGGTACTTTAATAATTTGTATCACACTTTTCAACGGATATGTTTCAAATTTGAAATTTGCAGTTCCTAATGTGCACTACAGCCTATGACGAAATTATTTCACGTTTGTTCTTCTAAATTATTTCACGTTTTTTATTATGTTTAAATCACGATACAGCCAACATTATTTAACATAGAGCTTAAAAATTTGGCAAAACAATTTTTTTTGATTGTTATTGAAATTGAGATATATTGGTCTACATTTTGGCATAGCCGCCACATAACGCTACCTCCCAATATTCGGTTTTTTTGATAATTTGCGCCAAATTTTTACGGATTTGTCTAAAAAATTATATTTGTATTTCGTAATGGGTTCCATCTCCGGTGGCGGAACATTGTACATATAGGTCCACGTTTTCGTTTAGCCCCCATATAAGGGTACCTCCCGAAATGTAGTATTTTGGTGTTTTTTTTTACTAATTTGTCCGAAAATTGGTATTTGTAGTTCATAATGGGTTCTAGGAGGAAGAAAAATGAAATGAATATAACAGTACTCACCGATATTAGGTATTTTCATAATCCTTTATTTAAGACTTGCTATAGATAACAATCACCCACTGCATTATCCAAATGGTCTCATTGGTATTTGTAGTTTAAAGTGGAACACGCTTACATCCACATTCTCCTATTTTAAAAATTTTCTTTTTTAATTTTCTTTATTTGCATATTCCTTCCATGTGGTGGAGGGTATTCAAAGTACGACCCTTTTTTACTGTACACATAAATTTCGACAAATGTTGGTATTTGAAGTTCTTAGAGATATCGCCTTGTTTCAGCTATTTCAGGGGTTTGCCACATATTTAATTGATTTGGTCTTTATTTGGAATCATGGTTTCTAAGGGGTGGAAAGCCATTTCGCAGAAAAATTTCAATGTAATGTGTTTCAGAATAGTACCCACAAAAAGGTATCTCCTGATTTCTCCTGTTTTAAGAATCTTGACCACATTTTCCGATCGATTTGGCAAATTGTATGTAGGATAGTTTAGGAGTATTAGGTATTAGATCAGAATAGAAAACTAGAAATACGTTTTCAATACTTTTTTCCTTAAATGTAGCCGTCTCAAACCCAGATTGGCTGTTACACAATATGACATCTGAATATCTCCCAAACAATGGATTCCTATATTGCTCCAGACCTAACTTAATGCTGAAGATCGGGCCATAATTATGACCCCTAAAGTAATTTTAAATTTACATTGACAGATAGATGGACGGGCGAACGTACACATATGACTCAGCACACATAGAATCGACACAGCTCGTTCCGGTTATATTAAGGAGCAACAAAACAGAGCTTGTTATTTTAAAAAAGAAAAAAAGCTAAAATTTTGACTGCAGGTGTAATTCTCGACCAGCAACACAAATTGACGGAATTCATTCAAGAATATTCGAAGTGATAGCTCATTTCACTTTCTTCAAGTCACAATTGACAATCTGAGCAACGTTCGCTTCCAATGGAAGGAACTAACATAGGGATTCTCTATTTTAATCTGAATAAATTTGACCGGGTATTTATGTGCAAATTACGACGATGAGAAGGATTAAACATAAAATCGGATGAAACATTTTTGTGCCTCTATTTTTTTATTTGGAACTTGATCGTATCATTCAAATTCATATATAATAGATGTGTGAGCTATATCGTACTTTGAACCGTTTTATACAAAATCAAACAACGGCTCCCCTTAACTCCGATTTAAGTTTGCTCACAGTCATCAGCATCGCTCGATTTAGTCTATTTTCTTGATTTTGGCCTTAGAAACTTTAGGAAATCTGAATGTTGATCTACCAGTCGAAATCTAACTTCTTTTAAAAATACATTTAGATTCCATATAGTTTTTGGTGAAGTTCCCTACAATGCGAAACAGTTTTTGAAAAGACCACTCTTAGTAATATAAAGATAATTAACCGCTAGCCTGCCAAAATATTCCCAGTACACTTCACTTAAACCGAGTTCACCAACCGAACAGATACAGCCCGACTGTCACCAAGTTGCACAACAGAGTCGTCTAGCCGATTCCATCAGCCTGTCATATCAAAATAATTACACTCAAAAATACCATTTGTATTAAAATATAGGTGTAAAATTCTAACAATCTATTTAATTTAGACATGTAGACTCGCTAGACTTGACAGGTTCATATTTTTGCGATCCAAGATTTTATTATAGTTAAAGTTAAAAAGTGCGAGTAATTTGTAATGTTCGCAAAAACTACATTTAACAAACTCTCTTATATCACAGCCATGCATTTTTCAAAATTGAAGGAAATTCCTACACATTTAAAGATTATTTCAGCCATTTTGAAACAAGAAAAATAAAAGAACATATGCTGTGGCCAAAAGTCAGACATCACTCAAATAAGTTTGTCCGCTTATCCTCCAGACACTAACAAACATAAGTCAATGTTTCAACTACAACAACAATGTTAACTGACAACTTACTAGACATTGAAATGGAGCATCACTAACTTCATTAAACTAATTACATCTCGAATGAAGTAGACACCATCATACACGTTCCGACCGAGAGACAGACAGGTGTCTAAAGACAATGTTTGAAGATGTGTGAATGTACCGTATACTACATATTGAATACTGTGTGCGAGAACATACGTGAACATGTATTCAAGCTTTATATATACGACAGTGTTAAGGTCTCCTGATAGCTACTGGCAAAGATAACTTGTGCATCCCGGACAATGTATGCGTACATGGGAATGTTGCTAGTGTTTTCTTAACTTAACAAAATAGTTTTCTCTTGATCCTCTTTGTTTTATTTAACTTCATTAAGCTAAATAGTAATTAAAAACTAGTTTTAATTTAATTTAAATACTAATATTGAATTGAATTATGTTTGAAATTCATTTAGTTGAGAGAAATCAATATTCAAAAATATATAAATATTTTAAGTTAATGTAATTTAATGCAAACAGGTTTAATCACGATGCACATACATAGATCTTTTAAATTTGTTAACAATTGTTTACAGAACGAAAAACATTGCCGACTGTGTATAGGTGTGTCCCTTTGTTGCAAAGCCCCGTAGGGCTCAATATCTTCATGGTAACACTTTGAAGATATATAAGATGTTTGGCGTTGAAAAGGTATATTTTGGTCCACGCTGTGTTATGAAATTTAAAATTTCGCAGGATATATTCGCACAAAAAATCTATAGCTCCAGTCTATGGCATAGCACCCATACAACGGAATGTCTGAATTAGATGTCTCAAACATATTTAAATTTAACAAGTAAGCAAAGGCTACAGTCGAGCGGGGCCGACCGTTGAATACCCTACAACACTATAATAAACGATACAGTTTATATAGGCGAGATACTCGAAAGAATGCCACAGGATATTGTGACAAATAATAAAAGAAAACCATCAGGTTTCGTTTTATAATTTTCGAATAATAGCAACTTAAACTAATTTGCTCATTTCCAATTTATTGGAAGATGTTGCACGTAAACGGTCTTCCTAGATCTGGAACCAATATTTCCCAAAGACCTATAATCTCTCAGAAGTGGCAAAAGATTAACATTTATTATTGGTTTTTGACTGAAACGCATCTATATGAGATACAGACATTTGACTATATTCTTCAACGAAATCAGCCTTAACGAAATAGTCAGAAGTGCGTCTTTCCTGTATTTGTGAATTCTCCAAAAAGTCACTAGAATGGACATTTTCGTATTTTGTCTACAAAAGTTGGCAAACTATTTCACACATTGAATAGTTTTGGATGGCCATCCGAAACTGTTTGGCTTTTGCAATGTGCGGTAACCCCACTCAAATGTGCGTTAGGATCGGGCGATAATTACGACCTGCTAACAATTTTGCAGTTGTTTGGTCCATTTCAACCCCTAAATGTATAGCGATCATCTCCAAAAAGAGTAGGCATCTATTCTGACCCTCATCTTATCTCCATTCAAAATTTCGTAAGGATCGGGCCATAAATGCGATCTGTATATGCTATCCTGATATTCTAACTACTTAGTTTTGTTAGCTGTAGAAATATTACCAAATGTTTAATTCAAAATGAAAATATGCCAAAAATATGACAAAATTGAAAAAATATGAGAAAATGTTACAAATCAATATTTTCATCTTTAGAGAGATATTTTTAAGCGATTTTTTTAGACGTTTTTTCTTTCCTGCCAAGAGACCATTCTGAATTAATGAGAACTGTTGAAATCAGTTCAGCCGTTCTCGACTTATAAGAGATCTTTCAAGGATATCTTCTTTGATAGACATATATATCGCACATATTTTGCTATATATC